AGCTGACAAGCAAGAAGTGATGGATAATGGACAGCTAGTACAGAAGACAAGGCTTCGGAGACTCTGTGAGACAGTTGAGACGTTAGTGCTCGCTGGAGATAGCAGTGTTGCTCAGGCTATTTATCAAATTGTCCACGACTGAAGAGACTGGAAGGATCTAAAACTACAGTATCAGAGATTGTCAATGGAGCAGAATGGGTATGTAGTGGATTGACTCACTTGAGTATCACTCTTGAGGCAGATATTGATCAAGAGACTGAAGAAGGGATGGCAAAGGCACGTATTGCGTTTAAGCAGCTTGGCAAGCTGACTCGGCTAGAACATCTTGACCTAACACAGCTCTACAGTCGGACACTGGACATAAGACTAAGAGCAGGTCTGGATGAACTAGCCAATCTGAAGAGACTAGATACGCTAAGGGTTACAGATTATCAGCAGCGAATGCAGCTTGAGGATGCGACATGGATGGTGAACAATTGGCCAAGATTTAGAGGCGTGCATGGTGTTCTGAACGGCGAGGAAGATGCAGCTGCTTTGCTGGAAGAGTTCTTTGAATCACATAACATAATCTAGATAATAATGAAGGTAATAAGAGCCACCACAGTAATAAAAATATGTACAAAGCATTGCATCGCAGGAACTATCCAACAGAGAGTAGCTTCCCAAATTGAATATCTATGCAACATGCGTTTGTCTCAAAATAGGAACTTTCTTTTTATTTTTAAGCTGCCTTATGAGTTGTGCAGCAACTTGGTTTACTTTAGGGGAGCTGGATTAGTTGAAGAGGTTGGTGAATCTCGCCTTTGTTTGATTCCTATTTGTTCTTTTCCTCACTATTACTCCTTTCTATTATACGTTCCTTTTCACAGCGTTGATATAGAGGGAGTATACAATGGTTCTCGGAATACTGCATCCGCCATTGTGCTGTTGCCAGGGTTCCCTCGCCTGGCTTGGTGTTAAACTTTTACTTTCACAACTATACGTCCCGGTGTCAAACATTCATCAGTCATATCCCTTTCCTATCCACGCTCTAAATCTTTGAACGGTATGTGGTTAACATTGCTGAGTGTTTGACAGGATGCTAGACGACTGTCTAGCTCGAAGAGGTTATGTGAGCCATATTCATATCTGTCTGCTCAATATGGCAGAAAGCTGGGGGGCGGAGCTGATGATAGTTGAGCTGAACTATAGTGCTCGTCGGCTCGACAGCTATCGATTGCTGGTAGAGAGGAGGAAAAAGAATTGAAAAGAGAAAATAGTACTTGAAAAAGAAAGTATAGCAACTAATTCTTTGAAGATAAAACAGGCGAATATTGGACAAAGAGTAATATGCTGCTGTTGCAAATAAAAGTTCGCGTCAGCTATTAGCTATTGCGTTGATGAGCTGTGGATGACCGAACCACAAAGCGCTATTGGCAATGAACAACATGTTCAGAATGACAGTATTTAATCAGCCACAGGGAAAGACAAAACCTAGCCAATCAAATGGAGATGGTGGCGAATCGTCAAGCACAAATTGATGGTATTTGCCACCATGTGTGAAAAGTATTAAAAGGGCTCTGAATTTAAGGGCTTTATCTTTTATGCATGGCATGTGGCCATTGTTTCAGGCATGGCGCTCTACCAGAACACAGTTACTTTATTGGTGTCCGGAAAAAAACCAAAGAGACCGCGATACCAGAACTGCAAGACAGCATGTGCAGAAATAGATATATCTCTATTGTTTTATTAGTGGTGTCTTCTCGGGGGCAACCGAAAGCTTGCTGTCTTTTGTTCGACTGGTAGAACATGCTCCTTATCTGAGCCAGTTCTTCATTGGCTGAAAAGGAAACATCTACAAGACTATTCCATTCTGGCCAAATCCTCAAAAAAAAAAAAAAAAAAATAAAAGGCCGATAATAATATATAAGATGCGCCTGAATTGTGGTTGCCTTTCGTCCAAGAATGCCCTCTAGCCTTGTCTATCGACTGAAGGTAGGGAGATCGCTGTTGGTAGAGTCCCGATCACGACAAGCATAGAATACCTTGCAAGCACATGTATCTAGTAGAGAGGGCCCAGGACAGGTTTGAAGTCATAACGCAATGCTGGCCCCATACGTGCCCAGCCAGAGCAGATCTCACTATTTTACCTATTATACTGCTGTGCGGAACGGAGGGAACTTTTGTGTGCTGAAAAAACACCCGAATTTTTTGACCCAGACATTTTTTGTATTGCCGGCGTGTCAGATGCTGTATTCAGGCTAAATTTACAGAATAGCGCAAAATAACCACCAAGGACAGCAAGTGTTATTCTTCTATGGAAATACACCTCCGTCTCATCCCTTCATTCCTTTGTATCGACTCGTTCGGATGGGGCTGAAAAGATATCATGTGCTATTTCATCTTCGCCATATCCTCAGAACAAAAAAAAAAAGAAACATATATATATATAGCCGTTGATAGTAACACGAGGATACGACCACAAGCTGGGATATTTTCTGAAGGCTGGTATGCCAAGGAGATCGAGAGTTGTTTATTATGGTTGCTATGTGGAACCTTTTATTAGGCCCTGCCATAGCCGTCACTAATTAATCTGATATTACGGATTAAAATGAAAGTTTCTTTTGAGGAACCTCCAAACCCTGGGACATAACAAAAGGATATGGCCTGGAAGGAACATGGATATCAGCTAGAAGCACTTTTTAAAGCCATATCTCCATGCGCGTGTAGAAATTCCAACATATGGAAACATAACTTTTTGGAGTTGCGGGGCCAGAACTTTAAAGAAGCTTGTTTGGGATAACACCAGGGGAAGAATGAAATAGAATATCATGTGCAATGGGGGGCTTTAATAAACGCGAGGCTACATGGGAGTCGCCCAGAAACTTTAAACAAACTCGTACTATTGAATACCATTGGAACTCAAAACGCATATTTTGATTGTTTTAATTCAAAAAGACTATACACCCCTAGGTGGACTTCCGAGCCTTAGGTCAATTCAATCGGCCAAACAAATCCTTCAGAAGTTAATCCACTTTTTAAAAAGAAATGGTCTGGCAAAGGTGAATGTGATGCTGGCTTGACATGGGCAGAGCAGCGTGCTTTGATAGATCTGTAGCGTTTGTGTCAAATTCACGGCATTCTGACCGAAAGATGTGAGATGTGGCTATTTATCTGCATCGTGAGTTGACCAGCCGCAGCAGTATTGGACATAAAGTTTAGCTTCGTATTAATATATAGTGTATTTACGGATTGAGATTCAGATGGTCCAACAGATCACCTCATACTCCTAATGGACTATTCTCGTTGCTGCTCGAAAATCCTCGGATACTGCTCGGTTAACCGGCGCTACTCGATTTATTGGGGTTTGTATCACTGCTTGGATTCGAAAGTCCACCATAGCCATAATCCAACGCCACTAGTATTCATTCGTATATGGAGTGATGAATCCGAATGCTCATAACGCTTTTTTTACAGGGTCATGGATGGAAGCTTTAAATGTGGTTGGTTGCCAGAGAGAAGGTGTGCGTTCTTTCTGCAGTTCTCAAGGAGCGCTACAGAGAGATGACGCCACCAATGCTCAATGTTATAAATGCTAGATAACCGTTGCTGGGAACACAGCAAAGACCAGAAAGAAGTGCATATGACATGGATCCACTTGGATCGAGACATGTGTTTTCAAGGACTCTTAACCATTAGCGGCGCATATGCTATTTTGTACGCAGGCAAGCTCAATCATACTCTTGATCTGATATAGAACTTCAATGATCACTACCGAGGCATAACACCATTAGTCTGGTCAACGAATGGAATCCTTTATCTTGTACAGCGCGCGCTGGTTACAGACCTTTGTTTGTCCCACTCACCGCGGACAGAGCGGTTGACAGTTATGGAAGGAGGGTATGAGCAATTCCTTTCCTGTAACAATGTGCCTTCAACATGAGACACAATAATGAGTTATAGCACTAATCGTGTGGCGCTTGAGGGAGAATATGGGTTGACTACTGGGCGACTGTAAAGCGCTGTGATAGAGCATTAATTACATATTCAATCCAGATTTTTGATAGTTCTTCAGTTTTTTATCGTTGAGCGAACCATAAATGACGTTTATGACATCTAACCAGTGTATTAAATTTTATTGGCTCTGTTGCTGTTTGTGTTCCCTTCATTTATTATCTCTTGGGCCCCTGTCCATCCAATCCATAGTCCACGTTCCCAGAAACCTACTACAACACAGACTATTGATGCTCTCAATGGCCAATGGATTGTTGCTCTTGTCCCTTTGGCAATCTGTCCTCTGTGCTTACTGGAAAGGAAAGCACATTTTATTTTAGAAGCAAAAAAAATACTCTTTCGATCGAAGGAAAACATTTAAAAGGAATTCTCCCGCGCCCAAAAAGTGGATTCTGTTTCCTCGATTATCCATCTACCTCACTTCCTTCACCTTTTTTCCATCCAACAGACACATATCCTCTCCTCATTTTTTCATAACCAATGCGTGTTGCCACTTTTTTGTTCGCCACTTTGGCTCTAGTTGCCTCGACTGTCATGGCAGGTCCCAAGACTGTTGATGGCAATAAGAAGTACCACAGCAAGCCCATTGTCATCAACAAGAAAGTCTTCCAAACCTCGAAGGTCCCTTTCATCCCTCATAGTGTACGTTCAATACTGGAGGCCTTGAATGCTCGGAGGAGAAAATAAAAATACATAACGGTGTTTCACTCTACTCAACACTAACACCATCACTTGATATACTGCTTTCTTCAATGCACAACTTTCAATTTGAATATGGTTTCAACAGGGCACTGGCTTGTTCGCCAATTGGGTTGGATTGAATGTAGATTTCAAGTATGTCAAACCTGTCTTTGATCTTGTCAACACTACTAAGGACTTTGGTAACGGAACCTTGATCTCCCGTGGAGAGTCACATATCACTGTAATCTTGCCCACGGAGTATGATCAGATCCTTCACCCTGCTGGTGTGACCATTGAAGAGATCAACGCCCTTGCCTCACACAAGAACCGTCTTCAGCGCTCCAGGTTCGAACCGAGTGCTTGGGTCGTGTCCAGATGGTGACGAAGGCGGATGGTGTCTTCCAACAGTCTCTCCAGATCATTCTCAAGAACTACCGTGACTTGACCCGTTTCCGTGAGGATGTTTCAAGCTGTATGTGAAGAAAGGAGGAAACCCCGCTCTGTTTGACCCTGAGAATTTCAAGCCCCACAATCACCCTAGGTTACAGACACCGTGATATCCATGCAGAGGATGGCGTCTTCAAGGGCAAGAATGCTTGCATCCACAAGATTGTTTCCAAGTAAATAAATGTATTAATAGTTAAAAAACATAAACATTTTAATCAATTTTTTTTTTTTTTTTTTTTTTTTTTCAGCATAGACCCTTATCCCTTTCATTCAGACTCTAATAAAATTAATAAATAAAGACAAAAATTGTTCTCACATGTGTGGATTTGATCGGAATTCACTTCGCCGTGCTCCGGTAACTGAAATTAAAATTTGACAAATAGACACCCTACTCAACGGGTGTGAGTCCGACCTGAATCGAAATTACTCATCCACAAAAACACACACCCCACAATTCAACACTGGTTCTCATGCAAATGTCTTCTTTCATCTTCTTTTTCCTCCTTTCTCTACTCATCACTCCCTTTTTCCCTTTTTCCCTTTTTCTTTCTTTATAACAAGTTCCCCTCCGTCATTCCGTCGGTCTTTTAGACTTCTTGTTGCCTTCCTTCTTGCAGCATTACCATTACACAAACTTCTTTTTTTTTCTCCAAATGACAAGCCTACTCTTCGAATCAAGTGGTAAAGGTGCCAGTGGCTCTTCCTCTTCTCGTCTTCTTCTGCAAATCCTTTCCAGGCATTGACCCACTTTTACGAACAAGAGTTTATGGGGCAGCAAATAGACGCACAACTCAACAGCCTCAGTATCAGACGACAATACCATCAGAAAATATACCCATCCTTCTTTTGCCAATCAACCTCTCGGGAACTATAATAGTCATCTTTTCCCATCATCATCATCATCATCATCATCTTCTTCTTCTTCTTCGCTTGCCAAAAACAGTAGTCATTTTGCCTCAAAGGGTAACAGTATCCCTTCTATCTCTCAAGCCCAAGATGAGTTCACGATCTTTAACAGTGGCAGCGCTCAACAACAACATCCCTTCTCTACTCCCTATTCTGGTACCCATGGAGTTGATATTTCCGAATACTTGATGCAGCGTCAAGAATATTACGCTCGCGAGGCCCTCGTTCGAAGTCAAGATAGACATGATGGACTAGGACCCATCGTGGATTTCTCAGAGTCATTCCAATTGAACACAGATCGTGGTGATCTGAATAAAAGTCGATTGGAAGATCATTTAGAACAGAGGCATCACAATCCGTACGCTACTACTTTGTTATTATCACAAGACCGACCTCACAGTCATCTGCAGAAGCAGGGACATCGGGCACGAGAGGCTTTTCAATTATTACAGTCGCAATCGCAATGGCAATCGCAAGCGAATAGCAACATTCAGGATCATGGGTTTGAGATGAAGAGGGCATCATCACAGCAGGAACAAGTCATGATAGATCTTGGATATGGTGCTTTTTCTTCACTAAAGGATAAGCAGGAAGAAGCAGTAGCATGGGATCAAGTCTGGGATGAGTCGATTGCGCCTACAACTTACAACTCCATAAAGCAGTACTCCACTCCAGACAGAGTAGGTTCATCATTTCATAAAGGAGCAGCATTATGGCCTTCCGGAGCTGAAACAGATTCCCCGGAATATGGAGCCATATATTACAACCCTCTTCAGTACCATACTCCACCGCAACAACCAATCCATTCCGGTTTATCTCACAAGTCAGCGCAAGTGTCGACAACGGCTGCAGTCCCTCAAAATGAGCGGATAGAGGAGCTTTCAAGATCCTCAGCTATTACCACTACTGATCCACAGCCGCAGAAACAAAAGCATAATCAGGATATGGGTGAAAGAAGAGGATCACTCAAAACCTGCGGCTTTATGTTTGATGTCAAGGGTTTCGTCAATTCACCCGATATCTCAGACCCTTCACATCTTTTGTCACTGACTACATCAACAGCGGAGGTTATACCATCGCAAGGTGGTCAGAATCCACATCAGCATCAGACTTCATTACCAGCATCTTCACTACCACTAGTACTACCACAGTCCCAACCCATTCTGGAGTGTCAACCAATTGAGCGTCCAGACCAAGGCTACAATGATGATGTTTTTGAAGGTGATATGCTTCAGGCATGGATGGAGACGCTTGCCCAGGAGAAGCAGGAAGCAGATGAACGAGCCAGGGAAAAAGAAGAGCAGGAGAAGCAAAAAGAGGCTATAGAGGAAGAGAGTCAGAAGGATAGTCCAATGGATGAAGCAGAGCGAAAAGCTATACATGAGGTAGCGCTTCGGAGGTTGAACGCATTGATACATCAGTTGGACCAGAACCAGAGCCAGAAGCAAGGGTCAAAAAGCTCGAGTGCAAGTATAGATGTTATTAATAAGACAACTTTTAGATCATAAATAGACTAAATAGACAATGGCCGAGTTTTGTATTTATCTAACAAGTCTAGCATTATATTTGAAAATAAGGTGACTGCCATTGGATGTGATTGCATTGTAAACAAACAACAGTTATGCGCTTTGGTTGGATATCTCAAAATGACGGAGGGCAACACAATTAAAGAGACGAAGAGAAAAAAGAGCATCCTCATGGCGTTTCAGAGAATCAGTGCATTGTACTGTATCCATGACCACCGTTTTTGTTTCTGCTTATGATTAGTAATGGTAACGTATTTTCAATTTTTTTTTATAAACAAGCATCATTCCATCACCACCAAATAAACCAATACAAAACAAATTAAAAAAAGGGCCTCTGCCTGTCAGTGAGCACATCGGCCGCCATTCAAGCCTAACCTTTAGGCAATTTAATTGGCTTTAAAGTAGACCAGGCTGTGCTAAAGTTGAGGGCTACCTGTTCTTTATCTTGTTTTTTCAAAGGCAATATATTAACTATGAGGAGAGCAGCGACAGCTTTGTTTGACTCTCGGAAATGTCCCCTTAAGCTTGAAAGCGAACTTCATTTTGTCCCAGCTCTCTTGAAAGCTACGAGAGTCCATTTGAAGCGGATCAGATTAGGCCCGAGGAGAAGTTGGTCACCATTTTGTGTCGTAACCAAATCATCAATTCAATCAATGTTTTTTTACAACGGCGGTAATAAAGTTTGCTTTATTTGGGACAGGAAATACGTAGTAATTTGAGGTATAAATTGCTCTGGCAGGAGTCAGGCAAGCAGGTTGCGACAGATCTTCTTGAAAGCAAACAAGAGGGTCCAGCTGGTTTTAGAAGATACTTAAGGACCCTAGAATGGTAAAAGGCCAAATTACCTTATCTGTTGATCTGTACGGTTTTTAAAGTTAGTCCAGAAATTCAGGGGCAAAAGATTAGAGAGGATGGATACAGGAGACGAAAATAAACAGAACTTACAAATTTTTTGTGGGTGTGCCGGCACCCAAATACTTGTGTCTAGCGTCGTGCGCGCTTTGCAGCCGGAGCAGGCGACTCTTCCGTGGGCTTGTACTTTGCAGGCCTCTCTTGCCTCTCAATTTGAGCAAGACCGATTCTTGCGATGTTTTCCGCCCCTACTGCGTCACAGTCGAAGAATACCTTACATGTCCGGCAATATTTAGAGCGAGGGTACACCGTCTCTAAAAAGCTATCGCAGAGGGGTCGGGGACAGCGGGCGCTGGTGTAAAATTCGTGCGCTCCTACAGCGAAGTGTCCGCGTGCTTTGACCTAAGCGTTTCAAATGGCAGTCGTTTATTAGCAAGGGTTTTATGGCTTTCCAGCTTTGCTTAATTTTTTAAAAACAGCCATACCTGTGTGACAAGATGTCTCGTTATAGCAGTGGCTTGCTGGGAACTCCTTTACTACTTTCAAAGGACCCTAGGCCGACGACAAGTACTCCTTTATCCCCAAGCATCTTCAACACTCGCTGTACCGCGTAGTCGAACGTAGCTCGTTGAGCCTTTCGTAGGTCCCATTTTTTTTTCAGGTGCCATCTGGACTCGTAGAACTCTTGAAGCACATCCAAATTCGTTGATCCTGTCTGTGTCTGAGACTCCTCGTTCATCCATTGAAAGTACTCATTATACGTATCCCTTCCAAACACAGGGATGGCGCTCTCAACCTCAATCATTCCTTTTTCACGCTTCCTTTTGTTCAACAGGTGATTGAAGCGGAGGACAGGGAGGTACAAGAACCTGCTTCTCACCTTTACCGTTTGCCGCAAGTTAGGGTTGTGAGGGTCCAGCGAGGAAAACGTAAGGGCGTTAACAATACCAGGATCACATCCGACGATAGTTGTGGTGTTTGCGGATGGGCATCGCCCTGGTTTGTTGAATGTGAGCTCAACGTTTTCAAGCAGCTTGGAGCTCCTCTTCCAGTTTATGTTTGCATAGTCTTCATCTGTTAGGTCTTCACCGGCCGCCTTTGAACACGTCGTGTTGAGAAATCCCTGAGAAAGCTCCAGTCCTTGGCTGGGGTCTTCTTCATCTACGTCAGACTGCTGCTGTCTCTTCGTCTGGGTTGTGTCATAGGCAAGTAGATTCAGAACTAGACCGTTGGTAGAAATCGTTCCTTTGAGTTTGAACCGAGTTAGATCTTTGTCCTGTGACTGCAGGGATACTTTGTCTTGACATCCACGAACCATGCGATCACCTCCAATGTCACAAAAGAGAGCCTGTATCAAAACCCCTTTTGTTCCCTGTACACACTCATACATTGCAGTCTTGGAAGCATTATTGAGAGGCAGAATACGCTCCAGCAGCTGCTTGGTATCTTCGTTCGCCCAGAGGATGTCAACTAGGGCGTGTTCAGACAGATACACATACCCGGGTGACCAGGGGGACGTAGGAAAGTCTGAGTATTTTTTCACTTTTTTGTTCTCCCGCAAAAAAAACTCAATGTCGCTCATATCTTCGTTTGTTTTCTCGACATCAAACTAAAAAAAAAAAAAAAAAAAAAAAAAAAGGTGTGAATAAAGAGCATTTGATTGCAGAATATGCATGAAAATACCCCTACACAAGCTATACCATTGCGTTCCTGTAGTGCTGCCTTAATGATGTCTGTACTTGGCCCATTAGTAAGTCTGACGCTCTTGGAAATGTGATCTTTTTGGGATCAAAGCCTTGGACGTCCCCCAATGTGATGTCTATATCCTTTATTGGGGAAAGTTCAGTGGTGGCCTTGAAATGTTCATAGGCGAGGAGATAATGGGGCGTTTCTACCGCCTTTCCTTGTTTTTTTGCCCTCGCGTAAGCTGAATTGGGGCCACCTTGACCACTCAAAAGAAGGGTGGCGAGACGGAAGGAATAATCATTGTGACCTCGTCCAGTGCCTTTTTCCTCGACTTTGCTGCCCCTGGTAACCGCATGAGCCTCTCAATGTCCAAGGCAATCGCCCAGTATGCATAGCGGCGTAGTCGGTTGAGGACAACAACTGCCCCTCGGATCTGGCTTGCAATACTATCCCTTTCATCTGCGTCCAGTCCGCCTTTCCTTGCCATGGAGGCCTTAAGGGACCCAATTGTTAAGGCCTTGATAGGGTGCTTACTGCTGTAGCTGTGATCAACCTTCGTAGCATCCTTCAAGTTCCTAATTGGTGCACCTTCTTTTTTAGCCCTGTGGGGCTTCTTGCCTTTGTGCTTCCGCTTTTGTTTTTTCTGTTGCTTCTTTTTTGCCCTTCTCCGACGTGGTGGATGCTTAAGGCCCGGCCTATCGTGCTGACGGCAGTTACTGATATCAACTGTGCGCCCATCCAATATGCTCGCCTTGTCAGAAAAGACGGGCCGGAACTGGTTCCTATGTGACCCTTCCGCTATATAGAATGATGGTACGCCTCTACATTATTCAAGAAAGGGACTAACGATTAGTATTGGGGACGTCTGGTTTCAAGGCCAAAAACTATAGCTTGAGCTTTCTTACGTTCTGCGGCGCTGCGCTCGCCTTTGCTGAGCCATTCTATGGCGAAGATCCTTTCCATTGAGTAGACGCTGCTTGAAGTTATCGAACTCATTGTTCGATGGTAACGCTTGGGCCGACGTTTGATGGCCGGAAGTAAAAATGCGGAGAGCTACACTGAAACGGCCTTCCTCAGATGCTACGTTCCTTCCCAACACCTTATTAGCTTCCCCGAGGTAATCTTGAAGCATTTTATTATAGTTCTCGTTCCACGCAACCTTTCGAACTAATCGAAGATTATTAACCGGGCCTAACGTCTCGAGGTTCCTTGAGTAGTCATTGCCTGCGATGGCACAGAATAACACCAGATGCGCGTGTGTTGGCAGTCTTAGTGCTTGGATAACGTTGTCTACGTCGTAAACCCCAAACTTCCGTCTACGGTGCGGAAGGGGTCGCACTAGGAAGCAGACTCGTTCGTACGCAAAAAAATCAGAGTCTTGGGATATCACGATCCTATCATTCTCCTCATCATGGCACCCTATGCATGGGTCCGCTTCATATGCACACAGACAGACATCGAAGACAGAACTAAGGCCTGTTGCCAGCTGATCCTTGTCCTGGACGCTCAGGGTGTGGACTTCTCGAAGACCCTCCTGGATGCGCCTCATGACTTGAGGACGAGTCCATACCCCACTCCGAGAATTTCTCTCGAAGGTGCTCATATTGTTCTCCAAAGCGTCCATATTTTTTTGTCTTATGGCTTGCCGTTCTGTCCTTGCTTTTTCTTTCTCAGTACAAGGTTCCCCATCAATATGTATAGTCAGGTTGTCCGTTGTGAAAAGATCCTTTATCTCGAGTGCCAGGGACCTTCCTACATCAATGATGGTTTCGTTTTTCATCTTTGCATGGACGACTCTGCGGAGGATATCGTAATAGAACGTACCGAGGAGATCTAAATGAACAGAATGGTCAGGATTTGCCGCCAAGAAAGTGCCCACGTCAGTTTCCGAAGGTAAAACCCCGCGATCTGCAACCGGTTTGAAGAGGGACTTCAGCCCCATGGTCAATATCTAAGCGAAAAGAGAAAGAAAAAAGGAAAAATGGTGGTGATGAAAAGAAATGAAAAAGAAAAAGAAAAAAAAAAAAAATAAAAAAAAAGCGACAAAGGTATAAAAGGATGAGCTTTTTTATGGTGTAAAGATTCAAAGCGAATAGATAAAGAATATTGAGGGAAAGATACAGGAACAAGTGGCAGTGGTAAAAGGGATGGGACTTTGAAGGAGGAAGACAATGATCCCTTTTTATATCCTGGATTGATGATGAGTTTTATCATTGTCTCATATAGTTTTGATATCGATCCTTTGCTTCACAGGCCACATCAATCTTTATTCAGTTCCTTTGTTTGGATTGGGGTTTTGTCCCAGTCAATAGCAGAGATTGAGAAATAAATACAAGCTCTCGCATGAACGACAGATTGGAAACAATAGCATTGAGATATCAAAGTAAGCATTCGAAAAAATATATAGCTATGCATGTACAGAAACCAAAGAGATGCTTCAGCTGCTTATTCGTGCACACAGTGATTGACGAACAAAAAAGGAAACAAGATTTGCGAAACAATTAAAAAAAAAAAAAAGCCCGCGATGAAAGAAGGCATGTTCAGACAACAAATAAACACAGCAACTGTTTGCTCGCATACATTTTTTTTTCACCGTTGTGTCTGTTTGTCTTTTAAGCTTTCTGTCTGGCCGTTTAACACAAGGAATCCTCAGAAAAAGAAATACCTCGCATGATTGGTGCCAGGTCTGAAAACACCAATAATGCAATGCTGTACGTGGAAGATAGGGTCTAGAAACTATACCATTGATCACAACTGCTACTCATGCTCTCTTGCCAAGGACTTGAACAGGCATACCAACCCCTTCTTCCTTGCTCTCATAATCGCTCACATCCTTTCGATGCATTCTTTCGCCGTTTATGTCCACTACATCTGAACCACACACAGTTCACCACTCACTCCAACAGAGATATTTGTATCACCTTGGGTATGATATGTTGCTGTGGTTCCCTCTGGTTTCAACAGGCCCAACAAACTCTATTAGCAGTGTTTACCAACCCAGATATATCAAGAAGACGAGGAAGCAAATGATGTGACAATCAAGTCTTGCCGAGCAAGCTCTATGGTGCGGTAGAATGAATCAACTCAGATTGCCCTCCTTTCAAGTCGATACTATGGCGAATATTATCACTGCTATTACACCAGTCAATAAATAAACAACACAATGGGCCCCCTAAGAGGATGCTAGTGTCATGCGAAAGCCTTCAAGTGTTTTTTTATTGGCACAAATAAAGAAGCCAGGATAGCTCCATGACAGTTTAGTTTTCGGTCATTTATTTCGACATCGAAATAAAATTTCAAGACAATGCCCATGAATTGCTGGATTTTAAGCCCATTTATAATGGCAAATTTGCCAGGTTGACGGTTTAAGGGATATTAAAATCTAGTTACTTTCATGAAAGACAAGGAAAAAAGTATTATTGATTCATTGGTTGATAACACATGACAGCTTTTACTGATTGATCGGCCCAGGCGTATTTGAGACCGTACTGTAGTCGCAAAAGTTCGTACGCATAGTCCTTTGTACCCAGCCTGGAAAATAATGGTGACCTATACTAACATCTTATGTATGCACCCAATGTCTCCAGCCTTGACAGCAGATGATAGCTCTATATATATAGGCATATCTCTATGAATAGAGCAGCATTCATAGATACTATCCCAATTGAGCTACTTCAGGTCGCTTGGCTTCATAAGCTTGTCCAGAATGTCTACACTGCTCGAGTTTCTCTTGCAGGATATAGTCGGGCATGCCATGTACGCCTGCTTCTAAGTCATCGCATCCCAGGTCAAGCTCCCACACGCGGACTACCATGGCATCGAACATATGTTGAAGAAGCTCATTCGCTGCGTGGAAATCAGGCCCACCAAGGATGACACGACTCCTTCCTAGCATTGATGCATAGAAAGCTAGTGATCCTGGTACTCCTATGTCGCCATAGTAGGTATGTAAGATCGTTGTAGCAAGCATCATCTGCAGATGAAAAAGCTGTATCACAGGAATCGCTCAATCAAATCTCATGTAGGATGAAATGTCATCGCACCGTTGCTTTTGTAATGACGGATTTTGCTCACTGTAAGCTGATCGATCGCCAGAAATCAATTTGCTTTTCCCATTGAACCAACCAGAGTCAAATTTAAGTGCGCCTTTCATCACAGTCTCCAGAATATCCCTATTTCCATCGAGCGTGGCCTGGATGTGCATTGATGGCAATGGGAAAATCTCTGTTTTTTCAGTAGGAAGCGGTGACTTTGAGGGAATAGGCATCGACATATTTTTGAACGACGTAAGGTTCCGCTACAAAACATTGACCGGATTGGATCGCATTGTCTGTCGGAGGTATACGTTGTTCACCGGTGTGGGGAATAGTCCCTCTACGCGAAGAAGCCGAGCAGGATTGGTATCTCGTTCTTCTGCAGTCTCCTTTGAGATTACAGCCGTTGTTGTGGTTCCGCTCTCAAATGAGTCCCAGTTTTCGAGCCACTGATCATACTTACGACAGACCATATTGATGTTGTCATAGATAACGTGAAAGGATTCGGCCTTGACTTTAGCTTGGACAATGAATCCGTGGCCTTGAGGATCAATTGATGAGAGGTCGACATCCCCGCCTTCGGCAATAGCGTGATGAGCTTCTATACCGCGCCCTGATGGAACAGATATAGTCCAAGCATCATTTGAAAGTAGCAGCCGCGATTGCAGAGAAACGCAAACACGGTCCCTCGAGCATGTATCATCTGCATATGCAATACCTGATAAGAATGCGTGAAGGACAGGGCTTTGGCATAGCTGAGGACAAAATTGGCGGCGGCGCGAACGGTACTCTCTTCGTGATGGGAATCTGTCATTTGGCCCTGCAAGGGAGCCATAGTTTCAGCAGGCCCTTCACTGTAATAACAGTAACGAACTCTCGCTTTGACAAGAGTATTTTTCGATGAGAAACACGTTTGCGAATAGATCTTGAGCGATAGTCTTTGTCTTTTCATTTCATCAAAGGCTCACTTCAATTGAGTATATATCAGGCATTTATATATATATTTATTTCGTTTAGTTTTTTTATTTTTTTTAAGGATGATAGTAATGAGAAGTATATTTCGTAATGGTAATCGGATGAATAAATGAGATTGCGATGAAATGGGAGCAAGAAAAACAGATATATTTTATATATTTAGTAGCATGCTTCACACGTAGGCCATTTTCCTATGGTCTGCACTTAAAAGAGAGACCTCCAGCCAAAAAGTCAAGTTTGGTCCCAAGTTCATAGCGTACGTGAATGAGAGCTGATAGGCCAGTTATTGAATGAAATTGAATTCAGCTCTAAGCGAATTTTATCAAAACTTGAGAGGACTGAATGTCGAGTAACAAAATGTGTCGTTATTTATTTATTTATTTATTTTATGGAAACTAGATGTACACTTGGCTTTTTCCGGATAGAATTCTAATATTTGGTACGCTTTATTTACTACCAATTGGGGACAGGGTGTTACAGGATAGGGACTAGTGATGACACTCCATGTTAACTGCTATCGGGGTTTCCACGTTCAGTAAAGTCAAAAGAGGTCATGTTATGGAACGCAATCTTTGACCTTGCGGTAGATCACGGTTTTTGAACACGATCATTCTGGTCAATACGAGACTCCTTTTTTTAGAGCGGTTGCATTTTAGGCTGGCATGCACTATCGATATCCTTATTTAATTTAATAACGCGGTTGGCGAGCTCCACTAAAATGTCGTCATTTATAAAAGTCCAACCGGTAATTGATGTTACCGATTCGGGCGACGTAACATTGCCAAACTCTTCGCTTAGTTTATCGACCAATGCATCAGTCAGCACGCAAGAAACCCTTAACCATGACCAAACTGGCTCGAAATCCCTTTTGTAAACCATCAATCTCCACTTTTTAATAGCTTCTTTGGCAGCTTCCTTCTGCTTTGCTGTACGTCGAACCTTTGGTGTGGCATCAACACGAATTTCATTGCAAGGAAGTTGCAGCAGCTCAAGAACTGGATGGCAGATATCACAACAGTTCTCATTAGGTTGGGGCTTATTGTCAAAGATGTCATTGAGGACTTTCCGCCGACATCCTTTGGTCGTAATGTAATTGGCAAGGTCCTCGTCTAGAAACTTGGTATATATGGACGATGGAGGTACCAATAAAATGCCCTGACCCTGAAGTTGCGGGTTGCGAGCTGCGCGACCATGATGCTGTACAAGAGCCGAGATTGTGGATGGACACTTGTACTGCACAACACGGAGGACATCACTAATGTCACACCCCATCCCAGCACCCTCTGTAGCCAGCAAAATGAGGATATCGCCACGCTTGAAGCGTTCCATAGTTTCTTGCTTGTAGTCTTCGGGAAAGTCGGCGTGGTATTCAGCGATCTTGAACTTGCCCTCTGCTAACTGGTACAAATGTCTATACCAATAACTAGTCTCGTCCTTGGTCTGAAAGTAGACAATAGTTTTTTTGAGATCAAGAAGGAGAAAATCAAGGTGCTTGGGTTTATCCTTAGAGCTAAGATGCCGGACTTCCAATCTGATATTGGGGCGATCGTTACCGACGTTGACAATTTTGACATCTGGTTTGAATTGAGCTAACCTTCTGAGCTTCTCTAGAACCGCTGGTGGAAGGATAGCTGAGACAGTGATGAAAGCTACACCACGGGGGACCTTTGAGCGTAGCTCTGCAATACGGCCATAAGAAGTCCTGAAATTGTTGCCCCAATTGCAAATACAGTGGGCCTCATCCAAGACAACTGCCTGTAGCCGCTTTTGCCATTTTGGATTTGGCCAGAGTTTCGTCAGAATAGGGCTGTCGAAGATAATCTCTGGCGTCATGAAAACAGCCCTATATTTCCCATCGGCCACGTCGTCGATTGTTCCTCGTGTGATAGCTCCTCCACTGAGTAATGCTACACTACTAATTCCCAGCTTTTGAAGGCTCTGCTGCTGCTCCTGTATCAATACCCTTAGAGGGGAGATGACGACAGTGATCCGATCTCCCCAAATTACGAGTGGAAGGGTGTAAACAAGGGTCTTACCCCAACCACATCCAGCAATAAGAATGCAATCTTGACCACTGCCAATGCATTCGACAACATCCAGCTGCAAAGTTTTTGGGGTGACCTTGAATATCTTCTTGCATTGTTCAGTGGCTTCGGTTCGATCAAAAAGCTTATTTTCGATGACTATTTCATCATTGCCGCCAAGTAGCTCGGCCGATAAGCGACGGTAACTCCTATGATCAACCAGCGAAGGAGTGTTACTAGGATTCATCGTAAGTTATTTATAGAGGGGCGGAGTGTAGGAAGTGAAGAGAGAAGTGATTAAGAGAGGTAGGCCAAGAAACGAGAGAGAGAAGCGATAAAATGTCAAACCCATTCAGGTTTTATAAAACAATATCCCAATATGGAACATTGTTCAAAGCCACGTGGAATAAAAATAAACAAAGACTTTTTTTTATTTTTTTGCTACAAAACTATGGTACGCAGCAAATGTGAACAGCATGTCCGCCTTGAGCTCAGGGATCAGAATGTGAAGGGAGTGGAGGTGGAACGCGATATAAAAAATAAAAAAATAAAAAAATAAATACAAATATATACATATTTTATTATAAATACTTAAAAAAATTCAGGCACTAACTTTGGCTTGTGCATTTACAGAATATTCCCTCAAGTGCAACAAATAATCGACAGTCTCAAGCTCAGGTAGAATCTCATACTCGAATTGGATCCTTATGCTATGGGCAGTTCAATCGGCACCGTCGTATGCTAGAGAAGAGGATAGGGAATATCTCCCGATCCCCTTCTTTGGAAATTGGTTCTTCCGCTCACACCATTTCTTCCAGTGCCACGAAGAAAAATCAGAAACCAGGTATAAAGGGACTTCAAAGTAACGAGAGATGGTGTGCTGTGTCCGGACTTTAAGATTTTGTATATTCGCGGGAAAAATGACTATGGTGACAACGGCGAGGAACTACATAGACTGCCCAATCACACTGATAAAGTCCAGGAGTATCCCCAGATAAGACATGTTTGTTGGGACGAAGTTAAAAAGAGCTTGTTCGGTGATTTACTTTAATTCCAATAAAATTGTTTAGACAAATCCTTTTTAAAAGATGTCATATTGCAGGTATATTTTGTATATATTTATGGAGTTACCTGATCCTTAGGATGATTGCAAATAGCCAAAGGCCTTCAGCACTCATACCTTGGAGAGCCCGACCGCATATTATATTTGCAATAGTTATTTCTCTGCCGAGGTTCATGTACAGTCACCTGAAACAAAGATTGGACAAAAAAATAAAATATTGAAATAGTTACGTTGGGAAGCGTTTCCTTCAATCTCTTTCCTTCCTGTTTTTCACATACAAACAGCTTGAGTAAACCACCATGGCGAGACACTTAGACATTGAGAATAAAGGTATCATCGTTGGAATGCACCTCGCGGGCATGAAGGCTGCGGAAATCGCATTGCAACGCGGTGTACCCCGAACCTCTGTTATTAATATTATCAGGGTGTACCAAGAAAGAGGCACCACTGCTTGCACTCCGATCCCAGGACGGCCCAAAGTACTAAGTGAACGGGACCTCAGGAGCATCGTTCGCCATACTAAGCAGAATAGAAGGTGTACTCTTAATGATATCACTAACCAATTGCCGAACAAAGTTTGCGAGAGGACAGTTGCGAAGGCATTGCATTCACTGGGTATTTTCAGCCGGATTGCAGTAAAAAAACCATTCTTAAAAGAAGGACATATAAAAAGGAGGCTGCAGTTTGTCAAAAAATATATGAGTTGGTCCATGGAAGACTGGAATCGGGTAGTTTGGACTGACGAATCATCATTTGAAGTTGGTGAGCATTTTCGTCAAATAAGAGTTTGGCGTAAAGTAGAGGAAAAGTACGATCATGATTGCCTCGCACCCACTTTCAAAAGTGGTAGAACAACTCTGATGGTCTGGGGGGCGTTCACAGCAACCAGAAAGTCTCGGTTGGTTGTATTTGAAAGAGGTCGTAAAGATGGACGGTGTTTCGTGGAAGATGTATATCAAGGCGAGCTAGCCAGATTTATGGCTGAGGTAGAGGATGGCATACTTATGGAGGATAATGCTCCAGTTCATACTTGTAAGATTGCAAAAGAATGGCGCGAAAAAAACAGCATCCCGAGGATTCCAGACTGGCCTTCATGCTCCCCAGATTTGAACCCTATTGAACATGTATGGTCACTTCTTGCGGATGCACTCGATAGGCGCGCTAAAGGGCCAAGAGATCTTCCCACTCTCACACGGGCTCTTATCGAAGAGTGGAATAATTTACCGCAAGAGAGGCTGGCCAGCCTTGTCGCTACCATGCCCGAAAGGCTGGAAGAAGTGAATGGGGTCGATGGTAGGAACACTCACTATTGAACCTACATGGCACTTTTGCTACTCTAACAATGCCGTCTTCAAAACCCCAATAAATAACAGTATTGACCTCTTTAGTGAGCATGTAAAATTTCATGTGTATTGATGAAGTCTTTATGTATGTTGCATATGAGCTGTTTGTCCAGGTTGTTCAAAAAAAAATCAAGAAAATCCATTTTGTCCAAACTTTATTTCAGGTGACTGTACATGCACAAACACATTTTGCTAAAACACAAGCCTTTTCCATTGGTGCCTCCAGAAGAAATGAACAAACTTTATTTGGCGATCACTCCATAATCAAAAATACTTCTAGGAGAGGATCAAACGCGTCGGTATTAATCTCGCTTCTGCTCTCCCTCCTTCCACAAGGCGCTGCACAATATCACCATTAACAAGGCGTCGTCTAGTAAGGAAGGGTACTAAGATAGTTCTTACTACAAGCAATAAGCGCATGCAACTACAT